TGCACTCGGAAGTCCATGCTTTACTCGAGTTCTTCGGGACGGGTGTCTCCATTGGTGGGCGTATTGCAACCACTCAAGACATGCAGCAACAACTCAAGGCCTTCGCGGATCACTTGCGATCTTCTGGATGGCGACCTCGTGTTACTACTCCTGCCAAGTCCTTGCAATCCGATCTGGCGAGTAATATCTCGGAACTTACGGCTTTACTCAAGAATGGCCTTAACCAACCCACTTCATCCTCGGCGAAACGCGGGCATGAGGCAAGCCCTGGTGACATCATCGCGGCACTGGGCACTATGTCTGCAGAAAATCGCGCTGCTGTCTTGGTTGCCTTGGGGGGTGGGGGCCCCGTGGCGCCTGGACCTTCACCTCCAAGGAAGGTTGGTCTCTTTGAACCAAGGCCAATGGATGCTGCGCCTCCTTTGCCACCGCTTCCGTATGTGGATGTCTCCGCTCCCTTATTCCCCGATGCAGACATGATTGAAGCCCCAGGTAACGCTGACCTTGCCCGGGTGGAAAATGACCTTCTGGCGCTAGTGCGGAGTTCCGGCTCTGGTTTGCCATCAATACGGGATAAGGCTGCCTTTGATGAGAACGCCCCGCTCAACGTGGCTGCTTTCGACGGGATGCTGGGGCCCTGCGAACTTGATGCTGATGCCCAGACTCTTCCTGATCTGGCCACGCTGGTGGGGTCTCAAACAGCTGATCTGATTACGGCATGCCGTGAAATCATACCCAAGGTGGTACGTCAGCTTAATCTGGTGTTCAAGCCGCAAAGGCGTTTAGAACTCCTGTTGCGCTCTTTTGGATGGGTTTTTGTCGCACGTGCGCGTGAACCGGTTGGGGTGGTGGCCTTGAGCATTTGTATCGCCCGCAAAGCGGCTGGTTTAACACACACTCCGTAGATTCCGGCACGTGCAGTCCCTGCGACCACTCATCACTTGCCAGTGCAGTTTTGATGTTGATGCATGGCTTTCTGTATGCATTTCCTAGGTTCGAGATCTGTCAGGGCAACGGGTAGGGAAAAGAAGGTGCCCGATGA